TGCGGTGCTGGCCCTGCTCCCCACCCGCAGGGCATGCTGAGCATGACCATGGTGACGCACGCCGTAATCCCAGCGCTTGGGAAGCTGAAAACAGGAGAATCACTACAAGTCCAATCTATGTAGTGAGACCCTGTAGACCCTGTAGACTCTGTACTAAATACAAAGCAAACAAACAAAAAAAGTGATAGAGATAGATGGATGCCAGAATGCATTTACAAACAGATACAAAATGAGGTTTTTCCACAAGGGTGAGAGGAAAAAATCAATTGTCCCTTCACTGTAGGAAACTGCATATTTATGGATTAGAGACATTTACAGTGCTCCAAACAATAGAAGACTGAGGGCAACTGTGGCAGAATGTTTACCTAATCATGGATTTGATGCCCAGCACTAAAGGGAAAAAAAAGAAGAGGTGATAATTCCAAGACAAAATACTCAGTAAATTTCCTTTTCCCATTTTTTTGTCAGATAATTCAAGATACTTCTTTTTCAAAGTGTATAGTTTATATTTGTTTAAAAAAAATCACTTGGACAGCTGGTGAGATAGCTCAGTGGCATGGCATCTGCCTAGCAAGCATCAGTTTCTGAGTTCAACTCCTGGTACAAAAAAAAAAAATCTAAAAAACAGCTTGAAACTGCTGGAATGGCTATTTATTGCTCATTCAAAATTATAAGGAAAAGAATCCTAGTTTGGATTAGTACATACATATTCATATATGTATATAAGATTCATATTTGGCAGAATAAAAATGATCACTGTAAAAATTATTTTTGCTCATTTAAATATGTTATAGTATGTGCTACTAAAGAATATGACTATTGTACACATCAATCTTTGGGTTTCCAAAAGCCACAGGCTGTCTAATTAATTTCAGGTAAATAATAATTTTTATTACAGAAGTGTATGTCAAATATTAGTAAAAAGTTTAAAATAACTGCACTTCTTTCTGAGGCTATATCTTACTTGCTTTTTCTAATTGCAGAGAGATGACAGTTTCAAAACTTAAAATGGGCTCAAGGTTTTAACGTGTCTTAAACTTCAGTTTTATTATTTATCTGAGTCAATGTTAAGCAATATTTATATCTTTGTTTCTGTCTGAACACACCCAGGCCGACTACCATTGGGAGGGGAAGTGACCTGACCACAGTTATAACTTTTCCTCTCCAGTAATGGCAAATTAGTGGTTAATTCTGGTGACTTCCCATCATGCCCTGCTCACATTACTCCAGACAGACTCAACAGTATCAAGTCACAGTTCTCTAGCTCACTCAGGACACTAAAGGACACATCCCTCCCTCTTTTCTAATGAAAATTAAACAGCTAGCAAACATAACTCTTGGATATAGAAGGACAGCTCACAAGACTTTGACAACTATGACATGTTTTCTGCCCTGTTGCAGTACACGATTTATCTTTTTGGACAGGGTCACATAGACCTTGGTTTGTTCAAGAGTCAGTCTGTTAATTCCACTTACTCTACAGAACAAAGGAAGAAGCCAAACATTTTCTGGTGAAGGCGGAATGTCCCCTTAGCATAAAGGGAGGTCATAACAATGTGACAAAAGAAAAAGGTACAATTCTAAAAAGCTTCAGAAATAGAGTCAATAATATGATTTATAATTGGATTGCAGAAATATGTGGAGGCAAGAGTAGAGAACGATGCCTTGGTTTCTGCAGTTTATAGCTGAACGAATTTTGAGAAAATAAGGGAGCAGTTTTGGCTTTTACATGAGAGTTTGTGTAAAGGTGGGATCTGAATGTCAATATTTTTCTCTCATAAACATCCCTTTTTTAGAGCTGGGGAGATAGCTCAGCAGGCTAAGTGCCTGTCGAGCAAGCAAAAGGAACAGAGTTCAATCCCTGGTACCTCCTGCCATGGGAGTGGTGGGGGTTGGGGGTCACCAAAACTCCAGGCACCCCTTGCTGGCCACTGAAACCCGGTGTGGTGGCATATGCCTGTTAATTCAAGCGCTAGGGAGGCTGAGACACGAGGCTCATGACAAGTGTGAACTACATAGCGAGACCTTGTAACAAATAAATACATAAAAATTTTATTTAAAAAAAAATCCCGGGGCTAGGGAGATGGCTCAGTGGAATAAGCGCTTCCCTGGCAAGGGCAAGGACTTGAGTTCAATCCCCGGTTCTGCAAAAAAGTAAATAAATAAAAATTTAAAAATCCCTTTTCTTCATCAGTTTTCCTGAGTGAACTACAATAAATTTTACTGAGTGAACTACAATAAATCTCAGTTCATTTTCTCTTTAAAACAAAAATCTCTATCTTTCAAGCTTCTGCTCATCCTGATATTATCAGTGCTCCCATAATGAGTTCCTATAAGTTCCAACCCAAAGTAAATAAACATGAAATTTTAATTACCCTCTTTAGCCTTGTGGAGGAGAATTGTACAATTTCCTCTTAGGTCCTTCAACACACTGAAAATCCCCCCATGGGCCTCGCTCAGAGTTGATATCCATAAATGCTGAAAAATAAATCTTTTTCTTTATAACTCACTTTTACTTAATGTATAATTTTGAGTTCTACTAGAAATTCCTTTTGTTCATAACATCTGGCACCAATTGATTTTAAGTATGGGAGTTTATTTCTATATATTACTTAACTAATGTTGCACAAGTACTCACAGCCTTCTCCATTACAACATTAAAAACAGAGGGCTGCGTGATTTGGCTCCTATCTACCCTTCCAACTAATCTCATTTATATTCTGTCTCCAAAACACAACCCAAATTTACACTCTTGGCTAAAGTACCAGTTTCTCTCCATTTTACCTTTTACTGTACTCCTATTGTGAAGACTGTCACCCCATCAGTCTTACTTGGAATTCTTCTATCATCCAACATAGATCCTGCTCAGAAATAGGAGCAAATACTGTTAAATAAATGTCTAAGTAAATTTTTTTACTTTGCCACATATTTTTATTAGTGGATAATAATTTTACAAAACAATGGGTTTCATTGTAACATGTTCATACACGGATGCAACATTCTCCTCACCTCCTTCTTGTATTAGTCAGCTTTCCATTGCTGGGATAACATATCTAATATCCACAACTGAAAAGAAGAGACTTTGCTTTATGATTTAAGAAGTTTCATAAAGCAGAACATCATGGCAGAAGGGCATGGCTGAAGAAAGCCTCTCCACTCATGGCACCTGGAAGAAAGCCTGAGAGGAAGGGTCTCGGGAGCAGATATAGTCCCCAAAGTCACACCCCTCTAAACAGGCCTCATCTCTAAAAGCCCATTCAACTATGAACTCAATGGGTTCACTCACTCATGAGGTTACTACCTGCACAATCCAACTACTTCCCTAGAACCTTATTCTCGTCAGGTTGGAAGTCAAGCTCAACTGGTATACATCCCCCCATTACAACCTTTATACTCCCTTTTTCTCTCACATGGATTCTTTTCCTTTTTCTAATAGTCTCCCTTCTACCTTCACATCTTTTTTTTAATACCACAAATTATGTAAAACATACAATACTCATATTTCTGAGTGTGACTTGTTATTTAATATTATGGTCAATTTTATCCATTGTCCTGCTAAGAACATAATTTTGTTCTTCCTTATGGCTAAATAATACTTCATTGTGCAAATGCACATTTTTCTTTCTTTTTTTTCTTTTTGCAGAACCAGGGATTGAACTCAGACCCTTGCACTTGCTAGGGAAGTGCTTATTCCACTGAGCCATCTCCCCAGCCCCGAATGCACATTTTTCTTTACATTTTTTTCTGTTGATAAACATCTAGGATGGTTCCTTGGGTTGGCTATTGTGAATGATGTGCAATAAACAAGTATGCAGGTAGAATTACTGTTGAATTCTTTTCTACCATGAGCAGAGAGATAATAGCTGTCACATTTAGCACATTTTTTTGTAAGTCAATATTTGGGTTTACATCAAAATTAATGATTTC